AGGTTGAAGCCAAGCATTTATTTGTTATCGAACCCCAGTTGCATCGAACCGACTAAGAGGTGGTTTGAGTGTAACAGGACGTTTAACTTTGGACGAAGTTTTCTTGATAAAACCTATTCAAATTCGATAAAAATTTTTTTATTTTAATTTTATTAGATCATAGAATTATAATAAAAAAAAATTATCGAATTTGAATAGATTTTATCAAGAAAACTTTGTTCAAAGTTAACATCCATAAAAAAGAAGCTGCGGCTAAACTTTTTATTTATCTTTAGACGAAGATTTTTCAACAACCACCTAATCAAATTGGATAAACTTTTTTTATATTAATTCTATAATCTCACTGAATTAAAATAAAAAAGATTTCATTAATTTGGTTAGGTGGTTGTTGAGAAATCTTCAAGTTAAGTTTGAAAAAAGAAAAGTTTCCCGATGTTTTCTATTTTAAGATATTTCAATTTTTTAAAACTTCAACCGAAAATTTCTCAATAACTACCAAAGCAAATTTGATGGATTTTTTTATTCTGATTCTACAAGACAATAGAATTAAAATAAAAAAAATTCATCGAATTTAATTAGAAGGCTGTTGAGAAACCTTCGCTAGAAGTTAAACAAAAATTAAACGATCCTCAATTAGTGCTGTAATTTTATTGGCCAAATTTTGTCGATCATCACGTGTCCGCATTTTTTTACTGGGTACGCTGGGGTAGTTATCTACATACTCTCTACCTTAAACATTCTAATATAAAAAAAAAACAAAAAAATTTTAGTACCGTAGTTAAATTATAAACATCACTTTGTTATGTATCACATGCATGCATAAATAGTATTTTAAAAATTGATTTGCATTATTTGTCACAATAGTTATATCACATACGACATGACCAATCAATAGATTTTTAACCATGCTGGCCAGGCACTAGTGCCTTGTGCCATGCCTGTGCCCATAGGCACTAGGCTGGGCACTATTAAAGGTATAGGTGCTTTGTGCCAGGCACTAATGCTAGGCACAAACATTTGTTTGTAGTTGAAATTTTGAGTTATGGACAATATTTGAAAAAAAATTTGGAGGTTTATTTTGTTTCCAATGCAATAAAACATGAAATTCAGCACTTAAACTTCACAATATTGCATCACATAGCACTATATTTATTTATAGTATGAGATTTGTTTAACCGTAACGAATGTTCAACTTGTATTTTTCGTCAATTAAAGTGAATAATGATCATTTATAAAAATGCACTTTTTTTTATTATTGTCCTTCGTAATTGAACCAACCAAATATGGATTTGTTGTTAACTGTTGTTACGACCAGTGGGAGAGCTTATAGGGTCTTGGACCAATTTAGCTTCAATCATAAACAAATAGTGGTCAAGGTTAAATGGTAAAATTGATAAACTAACACCTAATCCTGAACTTATACTATATCCTACGAATTTGGTCACCCACATATTTACCATAATTCAACACATTGCCCGTTCATTTTTAGGAGTTTGAAATAAGTGAATTAAAGCGACAAACCTTAAAAAAAAGATCAACAGATGAAAGATTATAGAGCCTAAAATTGTCAATTTAATCTATTAAAAATAACAGAAATTAAAACCTTTATAATTAAAGAATCACTTACATGAATGTAACATGAAATGTGAGCATTTCATGTTATATACATGTGATCGTACGGTACTGGTATATTTTTGCCTGTGCCTATAATAGTGCCTGGTATGCCCTTAGTAGTGCCTGTGCCATGCCATAATAGTGCCTTGCATGCCCTTAATAGTGCCTGTGCCTGCCGCTTTTGTGCCGTGCCATAAGTGTCTGCCACTTTTGTGCCGTGCCATAATAGTGCCTGCCACTTTTGTGCCTATGCCCATAAAATGCCTGGCATTTGTACCCATGCCCACAATAATGCCTTGGCACTTTTGTGCCTTAGGCATGGGCATGGCGTGAGGCACTAGTGCCTGGCCTGATGCCAATGTGCCCGGCGTGCCCACTTGCAGAGCCCTAAAAAGAGCTAAAAAGCGTCCCTAATAAAATACGTTTAAATAAGAAAATTGGAATCATTAAAAGCCTTGCGTGTTACTGCAAAGATAAATTTAATATGAAAGTTTTCTAATTAACATATTATATCTGCAATCTGTAAACTACGCAAACATTTATTTAAAGAATAATTACCTTAAAATCTTTTTATTTAACAGTTTCTTAACAGAAGTAAGTTGAATATTATTAGTATTTATATACTATTTATATACTTTTTATAGTTAATTGATAAATTAATATGGATTTATTTTGTATTTAAGTTTAAAAATCAAAAGACAATGCAATTAAAATATACGGAATAACACAATTTCCTGCCAGTGGCGAATATATGATAGTATCAGAAAACACAATCGGTGACAAGTGGTAATAAAGATATTGATTTTTGCATTAAAGAAGAAGCTAAGTAGATTCGAATTAGTTTATGTTAGTTTACCAATTTGAGTGAAATTTAGAATTTCGTGGATCTCAAATTTAGCAAGTTTCTATTTCGATATGTACGTACGTACGTACAACACTGGCACTTGAGATTAATATTAAGACTTTTACTAAAACGCACCTATGGTGTTTTACACCTATGTATATATTATCCCCAAAATGGCTAATTAATCGGTGCAAGATGTTCTAAGTAAAAATGCTCTACGTCCCTAAAAACCCTTCCTAAACCCTAACCCTAAATACTAACACTAACATGAAAATTTGTGTTAAAAAATTTTTATATTCAAAAATTAGAAAAATCTAAAAAATAGAATAAAACATATGATACTGTAAATGAATATTAATATTACACAAAATCTAATTTTCCATGTAATATAATTTTCGTAACACAACCCTATTCGTAAATTATTTACACGCACATTGTTTTACAATTTGTGGGCAATCCTCATTAAAATTGACTATAGCTATTCATACTTCAAGCTACACTGCAACAGTAGAACAGTTTAAACCTTTTTACTGAAATTACTGAATCGAAAAACGACAAGTTTGTGTAACAGATACAGTAGCTTTTAGAAGAGCGTATAAGAATAGGACCGACGAAAATTCCTTTTATAAACGCAAAGAATATTTTATTTTTTCGATATTTTTTGTAGAACAATACACAAAAACGTTTAATAAAAAAATGTTCAACATTGGTGAACTTAAGAAATTACACAATATTCTCATGGTCAAAGAGAAAGAATTTATATTTGAAATTGACGGAACGAGTTTTATCAAATGGTTTAAGCCGGATACAAAACTTGAAGATGTGCGAAAAAAGTTAGCGGAAGGACAAGATGGCTGGGATGCTGAAAAACTTTTGTTTAAACAAGGCAAAATACAAATATACCATGAAGATGAAATTCATTATAAATTAGAGAAAATTCAATCTCGTATATCCGATAAATATATAATATATGTTGAGAATTTAATGAAAAAAGTTAAAACTCATGTTGATGATGAAGTATTTTCTCTCTCATTGGATCCTAATGATAAACTTGAAAAAATTCGCATATCACTTTTAGGAAACTTTGCAAATTTATTTACAAAAGAATTCAATTTTAGATGGAAAAATGGAAGAATTGTTGATAAATGCGAAGAAATCACAAATAATTTAGAAGAAATTTTAATGAACAACAATGAATTATATATTTCCATATTGCAGGAAAGTGAGATAACTATTTGTAGTAGTCATGGTGGGGATTTTGAACAATCTATACATACTTTACATAAAGGGAAGAAACTTACCGAAATCAGGGAAGAGCTTGAACAATGCTTGTGTCCTGATTTTTGTTTTTTAAATCTGGAAAAAGCCCGTATTCATAAATCCGCTGAGGATAAATTAATGTTAGGTCAAATTTTATTAATCGGTAAAAATGGTCAAAATGTCTTAAATATTCGTCGTGAACATGATTATTATGATTTGGTGAAACTAATGAATAAATGTGGATACGGATTTATAATTAAGAATAGTTCAGTAGAACAGGCTGAATATCGCGCATTTACAATTACAAAAACACCAGACCAACACATATTTGAAAATAAATATGATGAAGGTACGCTAAAATGTAAAAATGAATTTCACGAATTATGTGAACGAAATTTTATCACATTTATAAACGCCACTTTTACGTTGCCGTGGGTTTCCGCCTTCTTTGGGGTTAATAGAGAAGTCTCACTTAAAAAATTAGAAAATTATGAAGATGTTACAGAATATTCATATATTAAGATGAGACGTGTGAGTGTAAACATTTCAAAAAATGTTATCTCTGTAAATAAAGAATTTAGTGATGATGTTGAAAAGGCATTAGAGGAAAAGACTCAGGATAAAAGAGTAGAAAGTCTTAAAAAGATAGCAGAAAAATACGGCTATTTTTATGCAAATTCAGTATATTTTGGAGGTGTTATTGTTAAAAAAAAAGAAAAAACGAAATACTCAAGTACGTATATTTAGCAATTAATTATAATTATTAAATTTCAAAACTTATTAATGCTTTTATAACCTTAACCTTAAAGATGAGCACTCAAAAGCTAAAAAATTAGAAATTACGGCTAAAACTAGTCCGCAAAAAATAATTGAAGCATGCACAGGTTCTAATTCAAAAATTTGTCAAAACATTAAAACAGTGACTGATAACAGTATATCTGGTGGTACGATAAAGGGAGGTGATTTGGCAAAATTCAGTTTTGATAAATTTGTTGATTGCCATGATTGGATTAATTCACTCAAAGATCCTGAGACCTGGGGTATAATTGAGTATCATCATATTAATTCAATTTTTAGTTTATTGGACGAAGATTTACAAACAAAAGTCTTAGAAGCCTTGGGAAAAAGAATTTTAAGGGGTAAGAATATTGTTATTTCGAAATAATGTAAAACATTAAATATTATTAGTTACTAATTTCTTTTTGAACAAATTAGCGGAGGTTAATGAAATTATGTATCAAACAGAAAAAGAACAATATATATATGAATTAGCTGAAAAATTGAGTGATATTCCTAATATCAAAGATTGCCAAATATTCACCACGATCATGAAAGAAAAAATGGATAGACATATATTTTCTACATGTGTATCTTATGATGGCTCATCCGACAAACCAATAATTATTATTAATCGTACTCCAAGTAAAAAAAAGCCTAAAAGAAAATATATACCCGTCCGCATCGGATGGATAATTGTAGGGTATCCAACAGATACTTTTGACTTCGATCTGTCAAATCAAGTTGTAATTGAAAGCAGAAAATGTGGATTAAAGCAATATACTATAAATAATAATGATTTTCCACACCTCAATAATTTACAATTTATAAAAAAATATGCATTAGCTACATGTGTCTTAGATAAAGTGGAAACAACTACACAAGAAAATGCAAGCAATTCATCAATATCATCAATAAGTGTTACGAGTCAGCTAAATGCGCGTGAATTAAAATTGGTAGTTGGGTCTTATTTTTCTCGTCCACTGGATTCTGCATGTTTATTTGCTTACTGTTCTAAAGACCGTAAAAAACAATTAAGTCGAAAAGATGATCAAAATGACTCATTCTTACAACATTTAAAATTATTTATTTGGTAAATACTGCATTTTTTTGTATTATACTTGTTTAGCCTTTTCATATGAACTAATCAATCTTTTACTTAAAGCGTTATTTATATAAAAGAAAAATTTTATGAACAGTATTTTTACAAGGATACAATTAAATGGAAGCGTATGGGAATAATTCAGAAATCAAGAACTTTATATTCAGAAACAAATCAAACCAATACCAATGAGAGACCTATATTTATAAATCATCTCTTTGATAAAGAAATTCCTGATGATAATTGCCATGGAATAATTAATATTGCACCTAAAAATCTTCAATATAGAATATTGAATGAGCATTCAATTGATGAAAATGGATCAGAAATTTCTTGTTTTTACATTCCTCCAGAAAATGAATTTAAAAATTTATATTAGTATGCGAGTAAGAGCGTAATAAATTGACATTTCATTTTTTTAAAATTTATGTAAAGGGGTATCATGATTATGTTCTGCAAATATGGTCACAGTACCACTAAAACATAGGACTCATGCCTGTCTCTGGCACTATGCTTACTTGTTGCCGTACTTTGCACTTACAGAGTCTAAATTATGATGAAATGGTGGTATTTTGTCGAGTTGACTTATTCGAATGATTGTGTCATTTGATTTTTCTCCTTAAGAGGAATCGAATGATTTCTAAAATCCTGAGAAATTTTACTTCATCAAATATTTCATAAATTTAGCAATATAGTTATATATATATTAAATCTCTAAATTTTTTATTATAAATATTGCCTAATGTCAAATAACCATACATTTTTTTAAATCTCTAAATTCATATTTTATAAATATAAAATTTTAATAAAATACTTTTTAAATTATATTATATTATGATCTCTAACAGCGAAGTTGCTATTTTGAAATATAACATAATTAATTCTGCACTTTGGGTTTTCGG